ATTTATTTATTTATTTATTTATTTATTTATTTATTTATTTATTTATTCATTCGAATAGGGACAAAGCACATTAATGAACATCAGTATAAAAACAAATGTAAATATGCCGTATTATATCTACAAAGCTAGTTTTCATTCATAGTCCCCTAGGCAGGCAGATACATAGAAAGGACATATAATATACAATATAAGCATCACAAGTAAATGTTAAGAGTTTAGTGGTCACATGACTGATTAAAGTATCAGCCACGTTTTAAATGCAGAATTCACCTGTTGATATGTCATTTTGTGTACTTCATTTCTGTTTATTTGACATCTTGTCAAGCTTATTAGGCTTGGCAGACATTCAATATATTGTTTAGTCTCCCCTCTGTATCCCGTGAATCTTAAACCCATGTTATTTCTCTTATTTCAAGAATAAAACAAAACAGAAAATTGCTTTTTTTTTTGTTTGAATTCCTTATTTGGCCCTTTAACAAAATATGTAAAAAGAAAAAACAGAAATACATTTTTGATATTAATAATGTATTACTATGCCAAATGTCCAGATTATTTTTAGTGTAGTCTTCTGCCCCCTGTTATCAGGTGATTCTGATTGTGTACAATAGGATTTTGAGCAAAGTTTTTACCATTAAACTATGCAAAAATTGTCAGACGCAAAACATTTCAGAAACCGTATGTATTAAATTTGATACATTTGGCTTTACAGGGTTAATATTCCCACCTGGCATTTATCAAGGCTATTTCCCACAATTTTAAGAGCCGAAGAGCTTAAAAAAATGCCACCGTCACACTGTAAAAGAAAGCCTTCTTCAGAATCCCCCTCACCGGGGAAAGCTCCCACCTTACACCAACCAGTGTGGTGGCACCAAACTGGAAAACCACATTCACTCTCGGCCTATCTGGGGCTGGTCGTCGGGGTTTCCAGTCCAGGGTCTGCTTTTTCTCTGCTCCCTCAGGTCTGTGTTTGTACCAACCTCCAACAGATTTCTCTGTCTGACTCACTGTAGCCACACAAGCCACACTCAGCCCTGTCAGAGCAGGGGGTTTATTCCCTTTGGTGCAACATCATCCGCACACTGAAGAAATAAGACAGGTTTTGATTTAATTTAATTTTTGATTACCTTCTGATTTAATTTCTGCTGGTTTTGGTGGCAAATGAGCTCAGATGTGACAGTGACAACAACAGGAAGGCGTCCTCTCTGTGTCGCTTATAATAATATATATAATATAATAATATTAGGGTTGATTACCAAATCGAGGAGGGTTTAGCCTCTGACTATGTAAGAGGTGGCTAGATCTGCTCTTTTTGACGTGTTGTGTAGACACGGTTCGGCTCTCAGAGCTTTGTGGTGTGTAATCGGGGGCCTGTTTGAATCGAATTCTCCGCCACAGTCACGGTGCGGCAACACCCACATCCTGACATCACGTTAAAGACGATTTATTCATATTTTGAGCAGCAGTTTGCGCAAATAGTCGTGTAAGAAAACTCACCCTGTGTCGATTTGATCATGTCACAGATCAGGAGGTGAGCGTATCTGTGAAGAGGTCACGAGTGTTTGGATTACCTCAGCGAGACCTCAGGGGAATACCAACTCTCGATGTGTCATGCACATGTTATTTATGAACGCCAAACTGAACCAAAGTGCAAAAGCAAGCTGTGAAAAGCTGGAGGCACCCTTTTTTTTACTTTTTATTCAGAGAAATTTATAGTCGGTAGAGTAGCTAAATAAAGTGACTTCAGTTTATTACGAACTTCAAACTTACAAAAAATTGCCAGCATAAACCAAGACATTAACTTTACGCATAAACCAAAACTTTACGGTAAGTATAAACCAAAACTTTAACCTTACGGTCAAAAAACCTGCTCCATTACCTTTCTTATACTTTGCACATGCGAACTCTAACAGACAAAATTGTGAACCTCACGTTGCTTAAACTCAGGACATTAAAGGAGCTTCATTAAATGATACATCAAAATACCAAATGTAGAAAACAATACAAAATAAAACCAAATGCCTCTTAATAGAATAAACAGTATACATTCCTCATAACTAAATTATTCCAATCAACTTCCAATAAAACACAATTTGTATATGGCTCTAACAGTTGGGTCTAAAATATTAAAGTGCCATGGAGGAAAGACATCAGCAATTGTATAAAAGAAGCCGTTGAAAGGCCCAAATTTGGAACAGGTTTAAAGGCCTAGAGTCCATCACAATGAGTGAGATTAACCAAGGGAGGGAATTATTCATGACAATTGTCAGGTTTCTCAAAACTTGACATCCCAGAAAGTTCACCTCAACGTCACGAAAACTGAAATCTTTCTGTCCAACTCAATGGGCCTCAGTTTGCCCACTAAGTGTCAGAGTTAATGAGAGTGTAAAGAGTTTTATTTTTATTTTTTCTCTCTCAGATGAACATGGCTGTCATGTCTCATGCAGGTGGGAATAAACATGAGGTCTCCTGTCCAATAGCTGATGTCGGATTAAAATGAGGTCGTATATCAGAGTTATGAACCCAAACTAAGCAGCAAATTTACAAAATAATTGAGAAACGAAAGTCAAAAGTCCCCCAACGGTCCAGTCAAAGTCCATTTCTAAAGGTGGACAGAGCTGTGAATTACAGGCCCAGAACCAAACAACATTCAAAAGTGTATAAAAAAGTGTATTCTCAGCAGGAGGGTTGCAGGTTCAAATCCTCGGTTGGCATGTTGTTGTTTTTTTTAAAAGTCACACATGTGCTGTTGTTCATAAAGTTAAACTTGTATTTTTCTGAATTTAAAGCTTGTCGAGGGGATCTTTTATAAAGATTTCCTGATCATTTCCTGATGATCTCCTTTATTCCACTTTAGCTGACATTGAGAGACTTAACTAATTAGAGTCTGATCTCATAGAGGTTTTTGTTACATGATTTCCCAGATAAACTGGACTTTTCTACAAAAAGTTACACAAAGTTACACTTCTTTTCTTACTTTTATATATAGCTGAACTTTAAAATGTTGCTTTAACCATCAGTAAAACAGCAGGCGCTCAGCAAAAGATGCTGGTGAAGGCTTCAAGTATTATGAATTAAAGCTATTCTGGGATCTTTTAAAGTTAGAGTCAGTCCAATGCATTATGAAACAATGCCGAATAAAGGCCAGCATTGCTTAGGTGTTTGTGAAAGATGTTAATATGCCTTAATTGGAGAAGAAGATAGTGTGCCTTGTTAATAAACCTTAAATAAAAGGCAGCATCCACGATTGGTTCAGGGTTAAGTGCCATTTATCCGATTTAACTGCTTTATAACTGTAATTTATTTCTAACCTTGGTGAGCCTGTGTCATTTGTTCAAAATAAAATTGAATTTAAGTTGGAAATCTGGCCTGAGTACATTGCCTTTTTCTGAATTATTCAATAATTCACAGGCTCACTGTGTTTTACTGTGTATTAAAATTTGGTTTATATGTTTTTAAATGACTGCATTATCTTTTTATACACCAGATTTGGCACAGAATAATATATTTTTTGCATTTTAGGCTTTAGTTTGAGTTCAGAAGACAAATCGTGCACATTACAGCCAAAAAAAAGTGCTGCGTCGACTCGTTGCTTGTGTTTTTAAAAAGAAAGTCTCACTTGTATCACATCTTTTAATTACCCATTTAAACTTTGTTTTTCTGCCTGAATGCTGGTATTAAAGCTAATGTTGTCCATTCAGTCAGATAAAATCAGTTCCACTGTCCACCTTAGATGTGGCCCTTTCAAAATCAGTAAAACTTTCCATCAAAAAGGATAATCTTGATTTAAAAACAGCCTTAAAACTGCTTCAGGATTGTTCAGAATAACGAGAGTCCTGGCCAACCGCGATACTCACTTGTATCTGAACACCCCCACGTTTCACTCAAGAAAGAAGTACCACCAGGTGACTCATCACTGGATCAGTTTGTTCCTGTAAACTTTCATGTTGTTGTGTCACCCCCCCCCCCCACACACACACACACACACACACACTGCTCACACACACTCTCCGACCTACCCCTCACCTCTTTGTTCTACTTTCTTCGAGCCGCTGTCTGCTTTGCTTTTGCTTCGTCTCAACCTATTTAACACCTGTTTGTCTCA